TGCAAGGGATTAATAAAATCCAACTTGTATCCATTAAGTCATTCACTGATTTATCAAGTCCGACTAATAGGAACAGACGTCATAAAAGCATCTCAGCATGGCCATGCAATTTCCTTAGTCATAACTTATCAGTGGGCCCCATAAGACATTAATCTCTTTAAAAAGAGTAGTGACAAATCCTATGTACGTAATCTACGTTTCTGAATACGCGCTGCGGCATACCCAAAACAAAGCCTGTATACCATCCTTATTTCATATGGCTTAGGACAATGCATCAAAGTATGCGGGTTCACATATGCAGAAAACGTAATACTTCAAGTCGAAGGATAGTTACACCCGTGGTCGCGCTAAAGATGCTTAGAGCATGAACTAAAAGTTCAAGCAACATCTTTAGGATGGGTCAGTCCGACATCCTATTATCTCTAGATAATATCTGCCCATGTGCGGATGCGAACACACCGTCATTGACTATGAGACTAAGTCAAACATCCAACACACACTAGTCTCACATGCATTAACGATATCCCACTCTCGTTAATACTCGACTATGGACATTTAGATAAATATTTATTTCAAGATGTTAGTCTCATCAGCAGAAGAACACTATCTGATAAACATCTTTTAAATATAAATCTAGGAATATAATATTTGTTTACATTAGCATGAGATGTGTAAACATATTATATCTGCCTATACATGATAGAATAACGATAAACAGTTGGCCATCAGGGCACAACTCCAACACGCCGCCCCGTCCCACATATCGTACGCCGCCTGCCCGCCTTGATGTTGCGTTCGCCGCCGGCATCCGGCTTGAACAGAGATGTGTTGGATGGGGGAGTGCTGAAGAACGGGGAACTGATGCCAGGGAAGTCGCCGGCGAGCATTTCGACCAAGTTGAGCAAAGGCCTGATGGCGTGGCACCGTGATGATTTCTCCATTTTGTTGCCCTTCTAACAATTTTTTGTTCTTCTTACTATTGGTTGAAGGTTGAAGAAGAGTAGAAGACACGATTTCTTCGAAGGTTGAAGAAGACACATATTTTGCGTGGAGTTGCAAAATCTCTACCTTTTTTGTCAGATTTTGGACTTAGATTTCAATTTATACCCAAAACCCAAAATCCATCAAAATCCATATTTTATAAGAATCTTTTAAAATCAATTGATTTTTGAATACCATTAGATTTAGAAGAATATTTTAAAATCTGAATTGAATACACCCAGATTTTAAATGATTTTTTAAAATCTGAATTGAATACACCCAGATTTTAAATGATTTTTTAAAATCTGGATTGAATATCAATAGACTTTTGAAATCTAAAAAAATACTACAAAATCCAGATTGAATACACCCCCCTAAGACTTCCATATCAAAATATAAATTACATTACGCTAAATGAAATAATTTTTTGAACTTTTTAAATTTACTAGTATCATACCTGTGCGTTGTACAGGTCTTTTTATGTTATTAAATTTAAATCATTTTTCAATGATAAAAATGAGATGCAATAGAATATAGAGATTATGTTATTTTAAGGAAAAAAAATCATTGTTTTACAAATTTCGAAAGACTTCTTTATAGATGACATTATTTGTACAATTTGTGGAAATATTGTTTTCATTGCATATCAGAATCTTCAACACACTACAATTAGTTACTCTTGAAACTGCAACATGGAGTTGTCCATGACTAAATACAGGTTTCCGTAACAACAGTCCGACATGTTTCAGAGATTGTTTCTGGCTCTTGTTAATCGTCATTGCGTACGAAGTAACCACAGGAAATTGTCTTCTTTGAAACTTGAATGGAATTCTCGTATCGGACGGTGTTAATGATAATCTTGGAATAACGACTTCTTCACCCATGTGGCTTCATGATAATATTTTTCTTTGTATTAAGTGATTAGCCAACCGGGTTACTATCAACCGTGTACCATTACATAAACCCATTGAATGGTTAATATTTCCCAACAACATAATAGGTGTGCCTACCTTCAAAGTTAACTCATGATCCGGCCCCCGAGAATGAGTAGGAACGTGATAAACTCTCACCGCTCTTAGTTTCATCATCAATAGTCCTGACCTCTCATCAACATTTTTATAGCAGTTATAATTCTCATGTTCGTACAAAAAGCGATGTTGAAGCACCGAATTTAATAATATAAATGAGATAAGAGGATATGGATTTAATATTCAAATGATGGACATGATGTTGTCAAGTGTCAAATATTGAGATTTCTAATCTTATTAAATCAATTTTGAATTGAGTTTAATTTATGGGTCAAAGTTATAAATTTTAAAATTTAAAATCATCGTAATACAAAATCTTTAAATCGAATTGGTTCAGAAAATATATCATTGGATCCGTCTCTTCGAGCCCTATCCATAAAAATAACTTTTTAATAAAAAGTCATTATTTTGAATATCCATTCATTTTTGGTCAAATATAAAAATATTCTTTGTTGGACAAAAATGATATTCAAAAATACTTTTATTTTATAACAAATTTTAGGCCATATTTTGTGGGGTTACAATTAAAAGAAATCAAAATAAGTAATATAAAAGTAGAAAGAGTAAGAAGAAATTTGAAGAAGTTGTAAGAATTAAAATAGAAGAAACTAGAAAGAATTGAAAGAAAGTAAATAAAGTCAGAAAGAAGCAGAGGAAGTTAAAAAGTATTGGACTTTAATGGTACATTTGGTTGTGGAAAATATGTATTTAAACGATTGTTCTATAGGCAAACAATTTCAACAAAAGATTATTTTCTACTAAAGTTTCTATTGTCTGACAGAAATAAACAACTTTTCAATATTTTTTAGAAAGAGAATTTTATGTATTAGTACATTGTTGATAAATAGTTTTAAATTATTTTAGAGAACATAGTTTGTTTTTTATACACATTCAATGTAAGAGGGATGCTAGTGGTACACCAAAAGTGTACCCCAAATGTACACCACCCTCTTCCTTACCACTCACTAATATTTAATTCGTGCAACGCACGGGGTCGAACGCATGTTGTTTTTAACTCTGTTAAATTTTTAGTTTTAGTAAATGGTTAAAAATATAGCTAAGCATAATATACTATGTTAGAAGTATAATGAATGATACGATTGTAGAATTAGTACCTTCGGTGAAATAAACGATACGTGATATAGAAGAGAGATCATTGAATCTCTGTCTTTTATGCATTTGTAATTGTGCCGAAGTTGTTGCATCATGGTTATGTTCTTCGGTGTCCTTGATATACAAATTGACGATTGCACTTGGTGCGAAGCAAACCCTGTTTTTTTAAGAATTAAAAAATAAGATGTCAATCTGCTCGGTTATATTATTTATTTCATTTGTATGATTTAATATATGCCATGCATAGTCATATATTAAATCATAAAGAAATATATAGATACCATTTGTCACATCCCCCAGCGGATTTATTATTGACGTTGATGTAGATTTTGACATTGATGACAATCTGTCAACCTCTGCAATAGAACCTACAAAAGGTAAAAATAGAAACAAAATATTTATTCACATAATACTGAGTGATATATATGTTTAAAATCAATTTCAGATAAAAAAACTATGGTAAATTAACCGTTTTGCACTCTTCTTTGTTGAAGTATATTCTTTCGTCGTGTTCTTGCTTCTTTCGCCAAAATCCATTTATCTTTTCTTTGGATCTGCGTCACTATTATCCAAATTTGTACACAAATAAATTCATTTCAATATGTCGAGTATTTAAAATTAAAAATTTTCAAAAATCATGACAAATCTTTAGAAAAAAAGAATCAGATAAAATGGTTTAGTTTAAGATAACGCATAAAAAGAAACTACCTTTTTGAGTATTACACTTTAATAATCGTTTTCTTATACATTTTATTAGTACATACCTATAAATTCTAATTCTCGAGAGATAGGAAACCAAATTGATGAATCTACTGCATTTGTTTGATCAGAAGAATGTTATGCGTCAAAATCTATAATGAAAAAATAAAATATAGTATTATGAATTAACAGAGAAAAATAAAAGTATTGTAGGTATTCATTTCAGTATAGTAATAAAAATATATTGACCATTGTTGTTTTTACCTTCGTTGAAATTTATGGCACGTGAAATACAGGACAGATCAATGTTTCTCTGTCTCTTATGGGTTTGAAGTTGCACTGACGATGCACGGTAAGAATATTACACATATAATAATAAGGAAAATATATACTCCCAGTCCTA